AGTCACCTGACCTCCCAGCCTCAGTTTCCTCATCCATAAAATGAGGGTAACAATAGCATCTTTCTCACAGGAATGTTGTAGGACAATCAGATGGGCTAAAATGCGTCAAGTACTTTGCAAACTTAAAAATGCAATATAAATACCAGGTGTTATTATGATGGTAATACTACTGGTGTATGATGAGGAAACCTTTTGGGGACAGCTGCAATAGTAGTAGTAAGGAAAGGATGAATTTGGGAGAGCTTAGAATTGAGCCAGAGCTTGGATGGAAGAGGTGATGAGGCATGAGCCCAAAATAAAGGCTTTGGAGATAGAAGGGGAAGGAAATAAACATTTATTAAACACCTACTCTGTGCATAGGGCTTTATAAATATTATCTCATTGGAGGCTCTAGGGTCCAATTTCGCCTCTGGTGATTAGTCTTTGGATGACTTTGAGCAAACCACTTCATCCTATTAAACCTCAATTTCTTCATCTGAGGGTTCAAAAATTCTATCATTACTGTGGCTTCACAGTTCTCCTAAGACCAAGCCCAAGACCAGTGCTCATCTCTGAAGTCCCTGGAACCAGTCAGTCAGTCAACAAAAATATATCAAGTACCTGTTATGTGCCAGGCACTGTACTAAGCACTGGAGATACAAATACAAGTAAACAAACAAATAAATAAAAGGACAGTCTCTGCTCTCAGGGAGCTTACAGTCTCACGGGGCAGCACACACACACAAAAAAAGGAAGCTGAAAGCGGGGAGGGAGAGAAGGTACCCAGCAAGGGCTCATGGGAGAGAAGGTAAAGGAATGCAGCTGGGTGGGAAATGAAGAAATGGCTCTTCTGGGGCCCCTCCCTGCCCCCACCCCCATTTAAAGAGCTTTTGGAGCTCTTTGTTATACCCCTCCCCTCCACCTAAGAAGGGTAGAGGTTACTGAAAAGGTATGAGTATCACTGCTACCAAAGCTGATTCAATCTTTTAGGGTGATGAAGTTAGGAAGTTTTGAAATTAAGAAGTTCCCAATTGAGGGTTAGGGTTGGAGGACATACTTACTGATATGTGACCCTAGACAAATCACAACCTCTCTGTGCCTCAGTTACCCCGTTTGTAAACTGAGGATAAAAATATCTATAGCACTTAATTCACAGGATCCTTGTAAGGATCAAATGAAATAATACATGTAAAGCATTTGGCCAACTTTAAAGCAATAGGGCAGCTTGTGGCACAATGCATAGAGCACTGGCTCTGGAGTCAGGAGGACCCAAGTTCAAATGAGGCCTCAGACACTTACTAGTTGTGTGGCCCTGGACAAATCACTTGACCCTTCAGTTCCTCATCTGTAAAATGAGCTGGAGAAGGAAATGGCAAACTAAATGGGGTTATAGAGAGTTGGACTCAACTGAACAAAGCAATATTAAAATCACAGTATTAGGGACTTCTGAGTTCCAACCCCCTCATTTCAAAGATGTTGAGGCTTGGGAAGGTAGAACACCTTGCCTAAGGTCCCACAGGGAGTACAAAGAGGCGGGATCTGAACCCAAGTCCTCTAAGAGCAAGGACAAGTTCCAAAGTAGCAGAGGACAACAAGAGAGAAAGGCGAGGCCAAGAATTAGAAAGGACCAGAGAGGTATCTGAGGGAATTAAAAGAGAAGCCATGGGGCAGCTAGGTGGTGCAGTAGATAGAGCACCGGCCCTGAAGTCAGGAGGACCTGAGTTCAAGTCTGGGCTCAGACCAAACACTTAAAACTTACTAGCTGTGGGACCTTGGGCAAGTCACTTAACCCCAATTGCCTAAACCACCCCCTCCAAAAAAAAGAGAAGCCACATGGCTGTATCATGGTGCTGGGATGATTATTAGCACATGTTGTTGTTCAATCCCGTCCAACTCTCTGGGACCCCATTTGGGGCTTTCTTGGCAAAGATACCGAAGTGGCTTGTCATTTCCTGCTCCAGCTCATTTGACAGATGAGGAAACTGAAGCAAACAGGGTTAAGTGACTTGCCCAGGGTCATATGGCTAGTAAATGTCTGATGCCAAATTTGAACTCAGTGCTTCTTGATTCCAGGCATGGTGCTAGTAGCTCCTTAAGAATGTTTGTTGTTTGCTGATTATAATATCAGCGAAATGTCAGCACAAACAGGGACATAAACAGCTTATGGGATGATAGATTTAGAGTTGATAGGGGTCTTGAGTTCTTCGGGTCAGTTGTGTCATACTCAAATAGAAATGGAGGGACCACAAAACTGAACATAAGCATCCCTATGGGCTTCATATTGACTTAAAAAAACACATTAAAACCAGATAGGAATTACTTTATAACCTGGTTTGGGCCCCTATTGAGAGTGTCGTGGACTATATAAGCCGTTGTTATCTCTGACCTCGTTCAACTCACCCATTTTGCAGGTGAGTAAACTGAGGCCTTGAGAGAGTGATTTGCCCAGGGTGATGTATCTAGTAAAGTGTGCATCTTCTGAGTCAAGCCCACTTCTCATCTCACTAAACATCTGTGAATTTACAACTGGGGCTGAGGGGGTAGGGGGTAAGTTCTGCCCTGAGACAGAGGGATTCCTGACTTTCTGTTTTGCTTTTTCAAAGCCCATCAGATCGGATGATGTACTTTAACCTCTCTGACCCCGTTTCCCCATATTTTACTATACTCTCTCTTTTGTCTCTCAGACAAGGACGAAATCGCTATGGATTACAAGAACAATTGCATCCTTTTAGGCATGGACTGAAAGGAAGCAGACCACCCTCCTTGAAGGGATAGTGGGAGCTGGGCGAAGTGGGCTCAGATACTTGCCTGAAATAAGGCTAGGCAGCCCTCTATTGACCAGGGGATGGTGGCCTTCAAGCCTGGGGCTATCCTGGAAAGACCAACTATAGCAGAGGAAAATTCAAGAACTTGCATCCTGGTACCTTGTCAACTGTATCAGTAAAGGAAGAAGTTCCCAGCACCTTTTCCTTTCTTACTAAATCCAAGTCCTTTGGGGAGAGAGAGACAGAGGCAGAGAGAGACAGAGAGAGACACAGAGAGAGACACAGAGAGAGAGATTATTCATGTTTGTGATGACACATGACGTAGAAAAAAGGAGAGTGAAGTATGAATTCAGTTTTAGATTTCTCACTGTACTATCCGTGTGACCTTGGGCTAGTCACTTAACCAAAGGCCAGGCTCAGTTTCCTCATGTGTAAAATAAGGGGATCAGACTAGATGCTCTCTAAGATAACTTTCAGTCCTAAAGATATACTATAAACTAGCCAAGGACACACACCTTACTTTGATCATGGGATATAAAACTTTTCTTACTGCCTTTCAGAGTTTTTTCAGCAGTAATCCACTGAGCTCTTATGGAGCTGTCCGTGGGAAGGAAAGCGGGTGGATTTCTCTTGAGGGTCCTCACGAAACAAACAAACGAACGAATGAACGAACAAACAAAGCAAAGTGCATTCATTGAACACAACTAGATCCGACCTTAGGTGCTGGGGCTCGAAACACAAAAACCATACAGTTCCAGCCCTCAAGAAGTTGACATTCAGGCGGAAGGTGCAACAGTTCCAGCCCTCAAGAAGTTGACATTCAGGCGGAAGGTTCAACTTGCACGAAGATAAGCAAATACAAAAGAAAACCTCTGAGCCTCAGTTTCTTCACCTAGAAAGTCGAAAGAATACAAGCACTATCACAAGGTTGCTTGTACAAACCGCTTTCCACGGCTCCAAGTTCCCGGAAGGATCTTAGGAGGTTGCAAACGACTGAGTACCGTTGTTGAGAACGTTAAGTCTCCAGAGTTAAGTCCGACTCCAGAGCTTCGTAAATGCCTGCTAAAGTGATGTCTTCCAGTGCCTCAGTTTTCCCATCCCGAGGATGGACTAGTAATGTCTCGCTTTGTGACACCTAGGAGGGCCCTAGGAGGCAGTGTAGCCCCGCTCCTGCTCACGTTAGCACTAACGCTGGCTTGAATTTTTCTGGGTGTCCGTCCGAAGCTGGGCCAAAGGCTATGAGGTAGGACCCTGTAGGGATGCACTGGACCCCACTCCAATTAGCTCCGTCCCCATCTGGAGTTCTCGGGTGGTTTTTGCTTTCTGACCAAAGGTCTGGCTCGGGTTCCTCTCAGCCCACCTCCCCCAGCCGGGGCCGGGCCGGGCCGCAGCAGCAGCAGATGCAGCAGCAGCAGCTGAGGAGGAATCTGGTTGGGGGAGGTGGGGGAAAAAAGGAAGAAGCAAAGAGCCAGCTCAAAATCTTAAGTTCTACTCGGGCCGGTGGGGAAGGGCTGTGTCCCGGGCGGGGAGGCGGGGGGGGGGGGGGGGCGGCGGGAAAAGACGGACCGGGGGGGCGGGGGGGGGGGCGGGGGAAGGGGGGGGGGGGGGGGGGGGGAGGGGGAACCCGCGGGGGCAGAGGAGGAGAGGGGGAGAGCCGCAGGGGAGGAAGAGAGGACCGGTGGGGGGGCGAAGGCTGGGCGGCTCGAGCTCCAGCTGCGGCCGCCCCGCGGGGTGTGGTCGGGGGGCGCCCCACCCCTGCCCCGGGAGGGCAGGGCCCGTCCTGGAGCTGGGTGGGGCGGCCGGGTGGGAGGCGTGTCCGCTGCTCGGGGCAAGCTGAGAGGGAAGGAGGGAGGTGCCCGGCCCCCACCCGTCCGGCTGCCGGGGGTGGGGCCGAGGAGTGGCTGCGGCACTGGCCAGCAGGTGACCCTGGGGGTGGCCCCGGGACGCTCCGGCTGCAGGCAGGCACCGGGCCGGCTGGCCGGGAGGGAGGCACAGAGAGACAGCCTGCACAACAGGCCGATCGGACCGAGGGCGGCAGGGCGGAGGAGGGACGCGACCCAGAGAGTTGGCTCGGGGCAGAGCGAGCGAGCAAAGTTTGCGTCCAGAGCTCCCCGGGTGGCCGGGAACATGGCGGCAGAGCCGGGGGCCCCGGCGAGTTTGGCGGGCGGCCGGCGGCAGCAGCGGCGGCGGCTGGATCTGCTCTCCGAGGACTAGGAGCGCTCAGAGGAAGCGGCGCCCGCCCCCCCCGCCCCCAGACGCACGCCATGGCTCGCTGGTTCCCGACCAAAAGACAGAAATACGGAGTCGGTGAGTGAGTGATCGGCGAGACGGCGGGGGAGGAGGGGAGATCCTGGAGCAGCCGAGCTCCTAGCTCCAGCCTGCAGACCCTCGGGGGAGGAGGGTGCTGCTGATGGCTTGAGGAGAGCAGACTCGCGGGCTTGGGGCTTTTCGGGCCGAGCGCGGTTCCGCTTGTGGACAGCGGCTTTTGCAAAGCTGGGACCGACTAGAGTGGATCGCCCCGGGCTAGCGAATGTTGAGAAGACCAGAGCCGGCTTGGTCCTTCAGGGCTTGGGCAGCTGGGGCTCTGGAGCCGAGTTCCCGGCCCCCAGTGGCCCAGGGGAGGGCGGTGCTGCCGTTGGCTTAGGGAGGGCACACTCGGAGCTTGAGGTCCAGAGCTCAGTCGGGGTTCTTGTGGTCACACGAGCTGGTAGGGACCTCAGGGAGCAAGCAGTCCAACCTTCCATTGTACGGACAAGGAAGGTCAATCAGGGGCCGTGCCCAAGTTCCCAAACTAGCCGGCAGTCAGAGTCCGAGGGAGAACTTGAATCTAGACCCTCTGACTCCGCTGAGCCAAGGAGGATTCCCCTCCTCCACTGCGCTGGAGTCCGCCTGTTAAGCTGCCCTCACCTGTTCCGTGTTATCCACGCGACTATCAGTGGCTGAGCTTGGCATGTTTGAAGTAGGATCATGTGTCCCAGCTTTCAGGAGGCTTTCTAGTTTTCAGCACAGTCCCGGCTTTGCCTTTAATCCCCCTGGAGTTGGGGATTTGGGTTTGGAAAATGACACTCCCTTAGTCAGGGGTTCTTGGGCGTTTATGGGTCCTGGTCCTCTTTGGCAGCCTACTCAAGCCTATGGACTCCTCGGCAATTTTTTTTTTGAAATGCATAAAGTAAAATACACCGCGTCGCAAAGGAAACTGATTATGTCGAAATGCAGTTGTCAAAATACGGAGTGTTTTGTTTTTGTTTTTTTAATACAGTTTGTGGACCCGAGGTTTAGAAACGTACAGCGGGGCGGGGGACTCCTCCAGGGGTTTGGGATATAGTGAAGAGAATTTCTCTTAAGGGGATTTATAAGTGAGCCTGGAAAACCGAGGGAGGTAATGAGAGACACGGGAAGTGTGTATGAGGTGTGGAGAGTGCGTGACTGGGCACCCAAGTCCTGATTCTAAGTCAGCCTTGACCAGCACTTAGCGACCCGAACATATCTGAACACATATGCTTATCTTGGGCTGTTGTGTGCAGAGGGTGGGGATTCAAAGTGCCCTCTGAACTCTGCATCACAGGCTCACAAACATTGGGAATGAACACCTAGGCTCTCCCTCGTCTCTTCCAGGTGTGGATTTGATCTTTAAAGAAAAAGGGAAAAAGTTGACGACTTAATGCTTTTGTTGTTTCTTAAATCTTTGTCACTTGCTGGAAACCTCTTTCCCCCCTTCCCTCTTTTAACAGAGAAAAACAGTTAAACAAAACTTGTTTACTCCTTCCCTCCGAGACGATGCTTTCACCCTCTCTTGAGTCAGTCTGAGCATCATAAAGCTGGAAGCAACCTTAGATGTTATCTAGTCCAAACTCTCCATTTTAAAGAAGAATCTAAGGCTCTGGGAGCAGAGACTTGCCCCAGGTGGTGGAGTCTTCTGAAATCAACATTGGTCTTTACTTTCTTCCAAATCCCCCTTGTCTTTTGTTCTGTTTTTGTTTTTGTTTTTGTTTTTGTTTTTTTTTTCCAGTCCTGTCCAACTCTTCGTGACCCCATTTGGGGTTTTCTTGGCAAAGCTACTGGAGTGATTTGCCATTTCCTTCTATAGCTCAGATTTTACTGATAGGAAACTGAGGCAAACAGGGTCAAGTGACTTGCTCAGGGTCACACAGTTAATAAGTGGACTTGAAATCCAGTCTTCCTGACTCCAGGCTCAGGGCACTATCCACTGCCACCTAGATTTCTTTTTCAAGATTGTGGGTAAAAAATATGTGTATGTGTTTATGTTTACATATAGGTGTGTGCATGTATACACCTACATAAGTATTACATACATATGTATATATGTATATATAAAATATATATTGCTCTGGGTATTCCTCCCTTCATTTTGTTCCAGTCGTATCCATTCCCACAAGTCTTCCCTAGTTTCTCATATTGGTAATTTCACATGATCATAGATTTAGTGGTTAAATGAGAGACTTAGATGTAGAGATCCTGGAATCTCTCTCATTTTGGAGGTGAGGAAAATGAGGCCCAGAGAGGTCAAGTCATTTACCAAGGGTCACACAGCCAAAGCAATAGTTGTATGAGATAAGAGCTGAGCCCAGGTCTTCCAGACTCTAATTCAGCATTCCGGCCTCTACAGTGAGACATTTCTGATGGGACAGCCATCATCTTCTCTTCCCCAGTCTGTGGGCAACCATTTGATTTCCATGTTTGATTTTGGTTTTTTTTGCTAACACAAAAAATGCTGTTATAAACTTTTGGGGGTCATATGGGGGACCTTTGCTGCCATTTGTGACCTCCTTGGGGGCATAGTAGTAGGATCATTGGGTCAAAAGGAATGACCCATTTAGTAACTGTTCACTCTTAATTCCAAATTGTTTTCCAGATCAGCTGAACTGACTCAGCTTTGCCAACAGTATATTAGTTCGCCTCTAGGCTTCTCACATTTGCTATTGTCAGTGACGGACTCATTGTCCAACATTGACTATTCTCATTTATTTGGTCGCCTTCACCGATCTGATGGTTATGAGGTAAAAGCCTTAGGGTTGTACTCATTTGCATTTCTCCTATTAATTTCTTGGAGCATTTAATAAATGATTGTTGCTAGCTTTGGAATCTTTTGAAAACTCTTATGATAAGGTCACATATTTAGAGCTAGAAGGGAGCATAGAAGCCATGGAATTCAGTCCTTTCATTTTACAGAAGTAAGAAACAGGAACAGCAAGGTTAAGTCAGCAGCCTAGGGTGATACAGCTAGTTAGGGTCTGAGGTGGGATTTGAACCCAGGGCTTCCTGACTCCAAGTCTAGTGCCCTAAACTTTCAGGCAGCTTAGTGGTACAATGGATAGAGTGCTGAGCCTGGAGTCAAGAAGACCAGTACAAATCCTGCCTCAGACACTAAGTAACTTTGTGCCCTTGGGCAAGTCACTTAGCCTCAGTCAGCCTCAGTTTCCTCAGCTGTAAAATGAAGATCATAATAGCACCTACCTCAAAGAATTATTGTAAAGTTTAAATGAGATACAAAAAAAAAAGCTCAGTACAGTGCCTGGCACATAGTAGGTACTATATCAATGCTTATTTCCTTTGTTCTTTCCACTATACCTTAAATATTTAAATCTTGAAGATGATGAGGATGGTGAAGATGAAGATGAAGCTTTCTCTCCCAGTGGGGAATGGATTAGCCATAAGCTGTTGTGTGGGCTTCTCAGATTGGGAGCAAACCAGGGTGGTAGAATGTGTTATTAGAATAAAAAAAAATTTTTTTTTTGAGGGGTGAGAGTTTAGGGAAATTGTGGGAAGGTAACTGCTTTTGGCTGATATAATTAGTCCTGCAGTTCAATACTCCCAGTGATTCTTTATTGTAAACCCGTGTGTGTGTGTGTGTGTGTGTGTGTGTGTGTGTCTGTGTGTGTTTAAGAATTTATCACTTCCTCTTCTGCCCATTCATCTCATCTCAGCTTTCTTGGTAACTGTTCTTTTTACTTACGGAAGGAAGAAACTTTCTTCCAAAAGGCTGTGCTGGGTGCAGACTGAAGAACTAAAGAGCCTGCCTTAGACTCTTAGGACTTTGGTGACCCCAGTCAAGTAGTTACACTCTTCATCTATAAAAATGGGAGGATTGGACTGGATTTCTTTTGAGGTCCCTTCCAGCTCTAAATCTTTGATCCTCAGGTTATAGATAGAGTATTGGGTCTGGAGTCAGGAAGATCTGAGTTCCATTCCAGCCTCAAGACAATTACCAGCTGTGTGACCCTGGGCAAGTCACTTAACCTCCCAGCCTCAGTTTCCTCATCTGTAAAATGAGTATAACAATAATACTTCTCAGTGTTATGGTGAGGATCAAATGAGATAATATATATACATACATATATTATATAATATATATATATGATGCTTTGCAAACCTTAAAGCTCCCTTTAAATGCTAACTCATTATTACTGTTAATGAAATGATTAAATTAAACAAGCATGTATTACACACCAGGCTCTTGTATACAAAGACAAATGAAACTGCCCAGTCCACAGGGAATTTACGTTCTGTGTGCATACAACATATATACAGATATATCTACCTACATGTATATACACACATGTGTATATGTACATATTATTTGTATATAAATACATACGCATACACATGTAACTCTTCTGGGGTAGCACTTACAACTTGGGTGAGGAGGGATCAGGGGAGGCTTCTTGTGGGGGCACCAGCCTTGAAAGTATCTCAGAATTTTAACGGGAGAAGGAAGAGCACTCCAGGCCCTGGAGGCAATCTGTGCAAAATTTCGGGGAAAGGGCACTAGCAGGAAGGGCTTCTTGGAGAAGAGGGCCTTGGCCCAGAGTTGTGAAGGAAACACGGAACTCTGAGAGTCAGAGGTGAGGAGGAAGAGCATAGTAGGCCTAGCTAGTACAAAAGCATGGGGTCAGGGGATGAGATTTTTTTTTTTGTTACAGGGTGATAGCCAACAGGTTGCTTTTGCTGAACCTTGAAATACATGTGAGAGAGAGATCTGAAATCTATCTGGAAAGGTAGATTGGAATTTAATTAGAAAAATACCTTGTCTTTTTTCTTTTCTCTTCTACCAGTATCTAGTAGAGGAGCACATAGTAAATACTTGTCCTCTTCCATTAAACACAAGTAACTCATGCCTGCCAAGCACAGCACTAAGGCAGTTCGAGGCAGTGGGGGAAACAGAAAAATCCAGATGTATGTAGCCAGTGCCCTCAAGGAATTTATGATCCAGTAGCCTATGTGTGAATGAATCAGCATCACAGCCATCAATTTCTTTATTGCATAAGCAGCATGTCTGCTATTTTGTC